GCAGAATGAATACTAACCATTAATGGCTATACAGAAAAGCTCCTTTAAATCAAAGCCTTTTTGTCGGGGAACTCTCTCTAAAATAGAAGGCAAAACTCCCTGAGAACATACTCAGTTTTCTCAGAAAATAGCTTGTCTAGTTCTACATAGCTTTCTAATACAAATGACAGAAATCAAGAGGCCTAGAAAGTTAAAAATTCCTGCTCTAAGAAAGATAAAATGGGCTAACAGTAAGTTTTTATGGCTTCCTAAGACATAGTAAATGGCCCAATCATTTCCTCCCCAAATGGTATTTTATCTGTTTGTCTATCAGGGATGACAAAAGAGGGAAAAGTCCATAGACTAAAACAGGAGCTTAAATCTGGGTGTGGCACAAGTCACCAGTAATAATAAAAAAGGACCAGAAAGAGACTAGGATACCAGTCAACAAGGGAAAAGGACCAAAGTTTAAACTGGTTAGTCTCCAAAAAATTGCATGACTTAAGATGCACAATTAAAGTTGTGCTTACATAAATTCTAGACATTAAAATCTTAACAGAACTTTTATTTTCCTTTGTTTTATATATATAATGAAGATATAATTCTGAATTTAGCATAATCCTAGAGGCTGATTCAATTCCTACACTTGCTATATTCTTTGGAATCAGCAAATGTATAATACCTAGCTTTACTTGGTATCCTTAGACTGATTCTATGATTTTGTGGATACCAAAAAATCAGGATGCTCAAGTCTCTTATATGGACAGTATTAACCTACTATACCCTTCTATATGCTTTAAATACCTAATGCAATGCAAATGTTGAATAATTATACTGTATTAAGAAATAATGACAATGTCTGTGCTCAGTACACATGAAATTTTTTTTTCTCGTAACTTTCAGTCTGAAGTTGGCTAAATCCATAGACACAGAATTTGTGAACAGAGGGCTTAGATTAATAAATGTATGGTAACTCCTATGCTAAAAGGATTGTCTGTCTCAAAGGCCTACTATCCAAAATATACAAGGAACTCAAGAAACTAACCTGTCTTAAACTAATAAACCAATCACTAAATGGGCAAGGGAGTTAAAGAGAGCCTTCTCAGAAGAATAGCAAAGAAACACATAAAAAATGCTCATCATCCCTGTCTACAAAAGAAATGCAAATCTTAAAACAACTCCTATCTTGCCCCAGTTAGATTGGCCAGCATTGTGAATTACAACAACAAACGTTAGGTGGGTTGTGAGAAAAAAGAAATCCTATTGCACTGTTGGTGGGAATATAAACTAGTATACAACCACTTAAGACAGTGGTCAGAAGGTTCCTCAAAAAACAAAACATGGATCTTCCCTATCATTCAGACATACCACTCCTGGGCATCTACCCAGAACATCATAAGCTAGGACCCATAAAGACACTTGCACACCCAAGTTATGGTAATAGCCTTCCAATAGATGAATGGATAAAAAAAAATGAGTTTTACACAGCCATTAGAAATAACATTATGTCATTTGCACAAAAATGGACAGACTTATAACAAATCACGTTAAGAGAGGTAAGCCTAGCTCAGAGAGCTTAGCTTGGTGCATACGCGGAAGCTAAACCTAATCTACACTGGAACATGATAAATTATACTCTTCCTGTGTATGTACACACACAGACACACACACAGAGACACACAGACACACACACAGACATTCACAGACAGTGACAGCAAAAGAGGGTATTTTTAGGAGTGGAACACAACAAGCACAATCCTATGTGCCTCTGATCATATAAAATAATATTGAAATTAACTCCAGGCTATTTTTGTCTTGTCTGTTTATCTGTCTTTGGGAAGGTAGAGGGGGCACAGGGATGGAGGGACAAAGTGAAAAAGTGCAGCAGTGGTACTCACTAGACATTATTTTGAAAATGAACTATATAACTTGTGTGGATTTTTAGAGAAAACTCTGAGGTGGGGGCATTGTCCAAAAAGAAATGTACTCTACCTGACTTACATAACTATTTCTGTATATCACCTTTATAACAATTTACATTGTTGTGTAAATGCCATAATCCTAGTTTAGGTGATGGCGGAAAAATACGAGTAAATGACTAAGAATAGGTGTATGTTGGCAAAGGTGCTAAGCACACCCATTATCTTTCAGATGAATGGATATTGCTTTCGTATGGTAAAATGCAACATCTGATATTCCTCTTCACAAACTGAAAAACCATAATGGCAATTAAAATATCAGCTTATAAATACCTTTATTGATGCAATGCTGTACTTCACATCAAAACTCAAATGGGGTTTTCTTACTTTTTCACATATACACTGCATGTTACACATTTCTGTATTAGTGGAAGGTACTCCAGTTATTATTATAAAACAGCTAATTAGCACAACAGCTAATACTTTTTGAGTTATGTAAATGATAAAGATAAAAGCAAATAATGAGATGCTATTTGTAGTCTCCTTAGTATTTATCTGTTGTATGATGGACTTGGTTATTCCATCTTGCAGTATGGTCACCTATATGGACTACACTAGTTGGGGTAAAGGTCTTTTTAAGGTCAGTGTCACCCTGGCATTTTCATGCTTGGTAACGCCTCTAAATGAAGTCAGCTTGGTACTTCCATAGATAACCATACTACCCACAGATGCTAATAAGCAGAATCTTTAAAGTTGCTGACATTATGCTCCAACCTGATCTGTGTCAATACTCTGTAATAATAGATTTATATGGCAATTTTTTCTCCACAAGACTAAACCTCATTTCCAAACTCTTAATTCTAAATTTTCTAAACTGCCTTTCAGTGTTAAAACATCCTCCATTACACTTTATGCATAAAACACAAAACTGTATCCATTATTTTACCCAAGCAAAACAAAGAAAACAGTAACAATAAGCTCACATCTTAAAATAAAAAAGATCTACTCTGAGATATGTTTGGTCAATTCAGCCTTAACCAAAATGATTGTCATGTGAATCTATTTACTTTTCTAAAACATTAATATTTCTTGTGTGAGTTTGGCACAGAGAACATACCGAAGTTTTAATCTTATAACCTAAAATCAACTGCAAGGTCATTTTCCTGGGAGTTTTTATTAGCCTCTTGAAATTCCCTTTCAATTCCAGTAATTCCACCAACTATCTTGAAACCATATGTACTGCTGTCTTACCCACTGTTGGGGTATTTATCACAAAATTAAACAACTTGTGTATATTTTTCACTAAGGTCTAACATAATCCTCATTAAGCAAAAATAAGATTGGTCACGTTGTGAGAAAAATAATCCTCAAGATTAATAGCAGGTAAGGCACCATGAATTTTAAAGTCCTCCCCCCCTTTCTTTTAATTCAAGGCCATGGGTGTTGTCCCTGAGCTTCTCTAATTCAAGGGTAGAGTTCTATCACTTGAGCCAGAGCTCTACTTCTGGCTTTTTTTAATAGTTTACTGGAGATAGCCTGGGCTGGCTTTGAATTACAAGCCTAAACTCTTTTTTTTTGGGGGGGTGGGGGGAGGGTCCGGTCATGGGGCCTGAACTCTGGGCCTGGGCGCTGTCCCTCAGCTCTTCAGCTCAAGGCTAGCGCTCTACCACTTGAGCCATAGCGTCACTTCCGGCTTTTTTCTTATTGCTTATGTGGTGCTGGGGAATCGAACTCAGGGCCTCAGGCATGCAAGGCAAGCACTCTACCACTAAGCCACCTTACCTTCCCAGCCCCACAATCCTAAACTCTTATAGCCTCCTGAGAAGCTAGGATTATAGATATGAACCTGGCTGGAGCCTATTTTTTTTTAATTTATTTTAATTAATTGAAAGGGCTTCCTCCAGTTCATCAAAAAAATTTTCCTTTAGTTTCAACTTGCTATAACCAAGTTACAAAGTAACTTAATCTTCATATAAACTCATAAATCCAATAACTGAACTTTCCTTCCAGCTCCAACCTGATCTGTGTCAATACTCTGTAATAATAGATTTATATGGCAATTTTTTCTCCACAAGACTAAACCTCATTTCCAAACTCTTAATTCTAAATTTTCTAAACTGCCTTTCAGTGTTAAAACATCCTCCATTACACTTTATGCATAAAACACAAAACTGTATCCATTATTTTACCCAAGCAAAACAAAGAAAACAGTAACAATAAGCTCACATCTTAAAATAAAAAAGATCTACTCTGAGATATGTTTGGTCAATTCAGCCTTAACCAAAATGATTGTCATGTGAATCTATTTACTTTTCTAAAACATTTTTAGTGGTAGGCCCTTTCCTACAAAGTAGCCCCATTTCATCTGTGAAGTAAAAACTGCTTTTTAATCTTGGGCCAAATGGTCCTTCAATTATTACCTTTTGGATCTACATAGACTGTATCTTAATTCTTCTGCTACATAAAGCTCTGCTTAAAGATAGTAGGCACCGCATACTATGTGACGCTCCTCCTTTTACTTTACTTCTCCAAAAATCTCTCCTTTCTTTAGTATAATTAAAGTATATGGGTATTCTGTGATTTCCTTTGTTCCATTACCTTAAAAATATACCACCAAAAACTTTAAAAATGTCTTTATATTCAAAGAGTTGAAGTTTATAATGGTACATTTACTTGTAATCTGTTAATCCAACATACTGTAAATAAGAGAAAAAGCAGTTTTACCTGTTTTTCAATCCCAAGATTACACACAAGTATGAATTGCAGTGATTTTTTTTAAAAGATGTTTTCTAAAACTTGGAGAGCATCCTAAAAGTGAGTAAGAAATATTATGAATGCAAATCACTGCTATTTATTAATGAAAGCAGCCCTCTGAGGAGGACTAGGAGGTAGTTTAAGTCATTTGTGAACTTTCATATAAATACATACATATAAAACTCCCTCATAATTCTACAATTCAAACTTATAACTCCTAAGTACAAATATATTTAAACCATACTTCAATTTACAAAGGTGTTTCCCCTACCTCAAGTTTAAATTAATACACTTGCAAATAATTAGGAATTAAATGCCAGTCAATAAAATTCACAAAGCCAGAAGCAGTTTAGTGCTCACACGTTTATATTTTTAGATTTGATAAAGATTCTTGTGTATTTTCTAAATACACTGACAAAACAGTTTGGAAGTTTACATACATGTCTTAGGACATTTATTATTAGGTAGGTAAATTACATTAAAAAAATTGGTCTTCGTAAAAGATCTTCCCAGAGAGCTTTTACAAACAGCAGGCAGATTAAGTGTTTTTTGTTTACAGTGTTTAAAACGCTGATTCTTCCATTCTATAATGGCCTCAACTACCCTCTCCTTAACCCCAAATTTTGTTCTCAATAGCACTCCAAATTTAAGGACCCAACTGTCATAAAATTCAGGACTAGAAAACATCTTTTAAAGTGTGCTTATCCCTAACACATCTAGAGCTGTTCAATTCCACTTGGAAGTAGGGATACTGCAGGGGGGAAAACCCTTCCGTTTTAAATTCTAAAGTTACTCAAACACCTTTTTGTTAGTCCTAAGTGTGTATATTAGGTACCACAAGTTAAGATTAAGGATCCGGGTGATTGAACGGCACACAAAGATATCTAATGCTTCAGATTAAAAATCATTTCTTTAAAAGTAAAAATGCTACACCCCACAAATAGCATCTGCTAAAATGAGGTCCTGTGGCTTATTTAAGTCAAAGTGACAAAACAATTGCTTTATCAAGGGAAAAACAGTATGAATGTTTATTGGGGAAGAGAAAGGACATCCACAAAATTCCTAGCAGTTTTATAAGGACAATATAAATCTCCACAGACAAGAGCTGTTATTCTACAAAAAGTTGTTTAAGGAGGCAGCAGTAGAGCCTTCTTGACCAGCTTCAGATGTGATTAAGCTCCAGCTCTGTTAGATTAAATTAGGCAAGTTTATGAATCTTTGAGCCTTTTCTCATCTATAAAAGGGAGGCAATAGCACCTATCTTACAAGGATTAAGTGAAATACGGACAGCATGATGGCAAGTATGGGCATTAAAAAATTGGTAGCTTTAGGAATCATTCAGAAAAAAATGTATCTATAAACCTTTCATGCTATGTTCAGAAAATTCTCAAAATTAAGCTTGAGGTTTTCAATTAAAACATTTTTTTAGAAAGCATTTTCACTACTTTCCTCCATATGATACCATGTAAACCAATCATCTTCATCTTTTACATCAATGTATTTTACACCATTGTATTTTCAAGTCAAAATGCTTTCATTTCCAAGTCTTTTTCCTTTCTCCTTTTCTATTATTGAACTACTATGATATAGTTCATATTGTGTGCCTACTACTATGTATTAATGTGTCAAGCTCACCCTTTTCCATCAAGATGTCTCCATTTAAACACTAGTCAGTGTCTTCCCCCTAAATTTAAAAAATACTTGTATCTGTCCAGTTTTTTCTTTTTTTTTTTTAACTCTTGATTTCTAGGGCACAAAAATTTAGCAAATCACCTAGTGAGAAAAAATAAGGGCCAAGAACCAATAAGGGGACTATATATGACTATTGTCTTGGAGAATCCTAAGAAATAATATATGATCTTGACAGGGCTATGTGAAAGGAAATATCAAAGTTTATATTCTTCCCCTTTAGTAGAATTAAAGCTCTAAAATATCTTTCATTTAAAATATAAATTACAAGGAAACTTCAAACGTGTAACATCATTTTGCCAGCGTTCCACAGACAAAATTATGAATATTCATTAACTCTCAAGACCAAATCCTAAGGTCTTAGAATCTACTGAGTTCCTGATATCTATTGATTTCCTGAAATTGTTGTACTCTAAGTTGGAAAAGGAATATATTTAAAAAAATAGAAACGTCCAGTAGTATACCTTAGTACTAAAACTATTTTTTAAAAAGATCGAGAAGGGGGAGGGGGGAATAGTCCTTCAAGATCATGAAACAAAATAAGTTAGGCAGTCAGCAAGTAGAAAAATCTGTCAGTTCTGTTTCTGGTAAAATGCTTACTTCAAATAAATTTTTATATATGCTGAGGATAATATATTCAAGAGTATAAACATTCTTCCTTTGGATTACCTAAAAACAAAACTTTCAAAGTATCATATTCCAAATGACTAAAAATATAGCCAAATCTGTCACAACACAACATTAAAGGTAATGGACAATTATAGAATACTTTAAATTAACAGAAATAAGCCATCTACATCAAACCTTTGTTTCCAACTAAAACCAAAACAAAAGCACAACAATCCCGTAGTGTACCAAGTGTATATTTCAATTTACTGCACGCAATCTAACAAAAATTTGGTCATAATTTACCAGATATACATAAGTGATTCAATAAAGAAAACTTGATTTCAAGAGAATAAGTTCATATCTTGAAGAAAAGTAAAAAAAGTACATTAAGAATGTAAAGCCAAGTCCAGTTTCTATGCAATAAGTGAACTATAGTCTAATAAAGCAGATTTAGGTGATTTTTTTAGATATATATCTTTGCTCTTTAATATATATTTATATATAGACAGATCTACCAATTGTAAACTATGGTTTATTTTAAAGGAAGGGGATAAATGGGATGAAAGAAATCTTTATACTATACTTACATATTCACAAAGCAGAACATTTTAAATTTAAAATACTTTTTCATTCATAATTATCTTTGCCCAACTAATTATACTTTGGACTTCACTAGAGTTACATTTTATTCATTTGTCTCAAACACAGAGTAGGACATACTCTTCAGTTTTAAACAAAATTCAAACCAAAGCTATTCATCTGCCAAACTTATAGTTATATAGAAAGTACAATAAAGTCTAGATGACAAAAGATGCATCTAACCATGTAATTGTAATATTTTATCTTTGATATATCTAAGCAGATACATTATTGTCTGGCAATAAACCATCATTTTACTGAAATCAGAGACAATGATAGTTTGTCTCTTAAAAAAATAAGCTTTCAACTTTGATCAGATGGAGCACCAAATAGATTGTATCTGTCAAAGCATCTTTGCAATTTCTTCCCACACAACTAGCATAATTTAGTTACCTGATATAAAATAGGAAAATATACTCAATTTTTATTTGAAAGAAAACTGAAAATATGATGAATCTTAATTGTATAATATGTTCCGGATAAATGTCATCCATGTTAGTATGTGAAATGTTGTGGAGAGTTCCACAGTGAATTCTTTTCTCACCAGGCTAATGAAATCTAAACAATTTCAACTTAATATATCACCTTTTTCTATACCATACTATATTTAGTTAATAATAAAGCCTCTGAATTTTACTTGAAAGTTGTGGCCCACTGAATCATGATGTCTAGAAAGACTGAATTGAGGTGTAGTGACTTTAGGAAGGAGTGGAAATATAAATTATCAACCATTATTTCAAAAGACTCAAAATATCCCAGTAAGTATGAAACAAAGGAGAATGCACATTTTGTGTTAATTTTAATGATAAAAAGGGCACAGGAGGTAAAAACCTGATATTTCACTTATATTGCATAACAAGCTAACCAAACTGGACATGGAGGATAAATTATAAAACAAATCATTTTACTTATTGTTTCTATGACTTTTCTTCAATCAGATTTCTGTCTTCCAAATAAGGCTGAGGTATAGTACACTGGCAAAAATAATAAAGAGGCAAACAAGAATAGTGCCAAAGTAACAGATACCCAAAACCAAAAACTATGTCAGAAAACATCATATAGTAACCATTTATCAAATTAGAGCAGCAGGAGAAAGTTACTTGTAAATCATAATCATTTAGTGGTATTTGTCAGCTTCGCCACGTAACTTCGCACATCATTCTTCATTTGTGAAGTACTAAAATTCATGTCAAAAAGGAAAAGGGTCAGGGGAAGTCAGTTAGTTCATTCCAATAAATTACCTCTCCAGTTCTTATAAACATGCCTATCAGCACAAAATTGAGAAATAATACCTAAGACTAGAAGAGACTTGTTTTTTTTTAAGTTATAAAGCAAATTAAAATGGAAAATACAAGAAAATAGAACCAATGGGGTTGAAAAAGCCCCTCACTGAAAAATCTGTATTAAAAAAAATAAAATTAATAAAAATAAAATAGAAACAAAACTCTACTAGTACAAACTAGCCTGAGTGGTTTGATGGACAGAGTGATTGGGTCAACTGTACTTCCATAAAGGGATTTTCTTCATTCATGTTAAAGTGGAACATGAATGCAAGCTCTATAAAGAACAAGTACTATATTTTCATAGGACCCAAATAGTTACTGTATCTCCTATAAATAAAAAATATTTTACTTTGACTGAATATGTGGGGACTCCATGTAAGCCAACCACATGGTTGTTTGCTGTACAGTCCTGTGCAAATATAAAAAAAAATTTTTTGCTATAAGGCTTTTTGACCCTACAGTTTCACAGCAACATAACTACCATCCAGCATGTACCATATTTTGCAAGCCTTCAAAGTTCAACAATCCAAATTGTCGATTCATATTATGTCCAAATGCAGCATCCTTGAGGAGTATAAGTATAGGTCAGTTAATCATCCAGAGACATACAAACATCTCCTGATTCATCCCATCGAGATGGATCATTCTGATCTTCTCCATCATCAACCAGTTCTTCATCAGCTTCTCCTACTTCATTTTCTTCATATTCTTCATCCCGAGGGAATTCTGTATCCTGTCCCTGATCTACACCTTCTTGCCCTCCTGGTTGTGATTTATCTGCACAGTCTACACAAACACCATAGCGTCGAGATCCATGTCTTATTCCAACACTGGCTGCTAACATGAAGATCTTCTTACACACCATACATTTGTATTTTTTATCCTTTTTATGCACCTAGTTGAAGGGGGGGAAAAATTCAATATAAGGATAATGTAGAAACAGTTTTCACTTGAACTAAATTGAACCACACATAATAATCAGTGAATATATACCAATGTTTTTCTGCATTGTTCATAAATCATTTTAAAGCAAAAGTTATCTTCTTAAATTTGCAAATAACTTAAAATGCTGTCTACTTCACTGACCAAACCAGTTTAACCATTAGTTTTTTCTAAAGTTACTTACCAGGGAATGTCTTTTTACATGTTCTCTTCGAGTAAACAGCTTTCCACAAATATCACAGCTAAACGATCTTACTCCCGTATGAATGAGTAAATGCCTTTTTAGTGTTCGTCTGTATTTGGCTACATAGTTACAATGAGGGCATTTTAACTTGTTCATGATTAGAGATGATTCACCTATAAGAATTTAAAAAAGCACTCATTATACATTAGTAAACAAAACCCTCACTATGTATACCCCTAAAAACATCAACTAAATGTGGGGTCACTGTATACTTTTATAAAATTATGTAATTTTAGAATTGTTTGGTTAATCAGTACTTGCCATTTTCCCATGTTTCTTGTTTTGGCCAAGATTCTGGCAATAATCCATACTTGAAGTCATTAGAAGCACCTGGTATCAATCCATACTTGAAATCACTTGAGGTACCCGGTATCAATCCATACTTGAAATCACTTGAAGGGCCAGGAATCAAACCATACTTGAAATCATGTGAAGTACCTAGTATAATTGAAAAACAGTGATTTTTGAAGTAATGATGCTATTTAGAGTATATCCTATAAGCACTTACAGAATATCTGAATATAAAGTAAATAGTAAGTCATGAATATCTATCTCTAAAAGTATGAACTAAGTACATATATCTCTTTATAAAATGCTCAATCTTATTTCATTATAGTAAGAGAAATACAGAAATAAGGCAAAAACTACTTTTCTCTAGATTTAATTCCATCTTGGATTTGTACATTTCAGGAGTGGTGTTACTGTGGCCTGAATGCAGGGCCTGGGCGCTATCTTTACCTTTTTTTCCTCAAGGCTGGCGCTCTACCACTTGAGTCACAGATCCCCTTCCAGGAATCTTTTATAATAGGAATATATCCTGAATCCTGTACAGCTAGTTGCTGATCCAATCAACCAGCAATTCTAGCCTCTGAGTGTCAACTGTTTTCCTGGTTCTAGCTATTAATGTTTCAGAGCCTGTATTCCACAGAGCAATCAAGCATTCTTTTAAAACACTACTTGTGGGCCACTACTCTACTCAAAAGGCTGCAGGAGCTTCTCATCCAACTAACTAAAAAAAAAAAAAAAAAAAAAAGGCCAAATTTTCAATATCCTAACAAGCCTTACCTGATAGTGCTTCTTGCTTCTAATCACCCTCATGAGGGCTTCATTCCCAAAATACTGATCTCTCTGTGTTGTTCCTCCACAGTAAACAGGGGTTCTACTTCAAAGCACTTATAGTTTTATCTACCTGAAACATTCCTTTCCAAAATATACACTCTAACTTGTACAGTGTTTATTCATGTAGCAATACAGGCTCAACATTTCTAATATGAAATGTTCCCAAATCTGAATCTTTATCGTGTTATTATATTGGTGCTCAAAAAGGTTCAAATTTTGGAACATTTCAGATTTCAGATTTTTTGTATGAATTTACAAACTCCTGGTGAAATGTTACAAAATCTGACACTGTAAATATTTTTGGTTCCAAAGATTTAGGATAAGGCATAATCTAATAAATTTTATTCCCATGAACACTATTGTCTTAATAAAAGAATGTTTATCAGCAGACTTTATAAGAGTATCAATAAACAATGAAGTTTAAAGGGTCACTATTTTTTAAAAATTCATATAACTACTAATGAAATTTGTTTCATTCTTAGAACACATTTAGTTGGTTTTTTTTTATGTCAAGAAAGCTCTCTGGACCCATAGTTATATATAATTTAACTACAGTGTGTTACTGTTAGGAAGTTTTTTAACTTCTAAAGTGAGACATTTCCACCATGTGTGGGATAGGGATGAAGATGGGAATGGTAGCCTGTGGAGAAAAATCAATTTTTAGTCTCACATTTCTAAATAAAGCCAGGGCTTTATTGAGTCATGCTCTTTAATCTGAATCAGTAGAAAAACGTTAATTAAACTTAAGTAGAACAAGGAATGCCTATCTTCCCCACCTGTGTATTTGTATGTATTTCTAGTTTAAAACATGTATGTATAGGTGCATTTATATGCATGTGTAAACGTGCAATCCACTTATTTGTTGAACAATTTTATTCTAGCCAGGCTCAGGTGACTCATACTTGTAACTAACCACCAAAAAACTGAAAGCTGAGCTGTGGCTCAAGAGGTAGATCTTTAGCCTTGAACAAAGCTCAGGGACAGCACCTAGGCCCTGAAGTATAAGCCCCAGAACCAACAGCAGCAGCAACAACAAAAAGCCAACATGTACCTAATATTTTTTTACTTGCTCAAAATATTTATACACTAGTGTCAAAAATAAAAAATGGTAGCCAGGTGGTGCACAACTGTAATCCTAGCTATTCAGGGGGCTGAGACCTGAGGATCGCAGTTCAATGCCAGCCTGAGCTGAAAGTCCCAACGATACTCTTTTCTCCAATAACCAGGAGAAAACCGGAAGTAGAGCTGTGGCTCAATGATAGAATTCAAGAATAGTGCTTTAGCCCCATGACTGACCTAAATAAATCAATAAACGTAATATATTACTCAACACAAAAAGTTTAACATAAAGATGATTTATGAACAATAATCCAAGATCCAGTATTATATTTTTCTTTATTTTCCCTTTGGTCCAAGATGGGGAATCAGTACCTGAGCTTTTCACTCATTGGCTGGTGCTCTACCAGCTGGGCCACATGTCTACCCCCCAAAATTATATTTTTGAATACTTGAAATTCAATGTTTCTTTTGCAGATAGTGTTTATGGTAAAAGATAAAAGAGATGACTTATAATACATACTACTACAGTCTACATCTCTAATTTTTGTAATTTTCTGAGATAACTCCAGGCATTTGCAGAATAGCTTGAAAAAAGATACTGTGGTTGTAATTCAATATATATTAAGGACATTAAGGATCTATTTCAAATTGTACTGTTTTTGAATAATTCTTGTAGGCATTTTATAAAGAATATATTATATGTGCATATACTCATACATATATGTATACACACTTTGAGAAATAGCTTGTTATGTAATTCAGGCTGACTTCAAACTTATGCATGTACTACCAAATTTGGAGGGACAATCCTTTTTGAGGGGTTGGAGGCGTGGTTTAGGTAGTAAAGCCAACCAGTGGGCAAAAGCACTAGATATCAAGTTTGTGTCTCTGTCTCAAAAGAAAAAAAATATTCTTTTTTTACTTATTATCCAATAATGGCAAACTAAGAGGAAAACTATTTTTGATGTTATAAGGTAAGTCATATGACACAGTCTGTCCCAGATGTAACTATGTCAATAAGTCAAAATATCCCCTTAAGGAAAATGTCAGGATGAAGACTTTACTCTGGAAAGTAACATAGGCCCTTCTCCATGAAAATGTTTATGTGCATCAAGTTTAAATTTTATATATGAATTCCCACAGTCCCATTAAACAGATCCTTGGAACAGACTTCTAAGCCAAGAAAGTTAGTGCAATAAAATACTCTTCTAAGCAATTTTCTGAACAAGGGGGAAATAATCTTCATAATACATCTCACCTGCAATGGGACAGTACTAGCTTAATTTAGGTCACAGTGTATGGTATTTAGAAGCCCCTACCTGGGGATGGGAGGTGTACATCTTTAATTTCAGTGCTTGGGAGGCAGGCTGTCATAAATTTTGAGGCTAGCATGTACTAAATAACTATGGTAAAGACTATGTTTGAAGGCCAGGTATCGTGGTTTACACCTGTAATCCTAGCTACTCAGGAGGTTGAGCTCTGAGGATCATGGTTCAAAGCCAGCCTGAGCAGCAGTCCATCAGACTCATCTCCAATTAACCACCAGAAAACCGGAGGTAGCGCTGTGGCTCAAGTGGTAGAGTGCTAGCCTTGAGCTGAAGAGCTAAAGGACAGTGCCCAGGCCCAGAGTTCAAGCCCCATGACTGCCCTTCCCCCCTCGTCCCCCCCCCCAAAAAAAAGACTATGTTCTAAAAAACCAAGGGACAGGAGGATGTAGCTCAGTGGGAGAGTTTGCCTAGAATTTGCACAACCCTGGGCTGATCTAGCACCAAGGAAACAGCAGGAAAGGAAAAGGGGGAGAGGGGGATGTTGAGAACTGACTACTTTTTCTAAGGAGTGCTCAAAATTGTCTTCTTTCCAGCAGCAATTGTGAAAAGAACGTAAATGCAACATAGACTAAATAATTGAATATCCAAGCGCCTCTGCCTTTCTTTAGCATTAATTCTGGCACACATTCTTTCTCTTCATGGGTAACACATGTACACATTTTTTATACTTGCACTTTTACTGCAAGCCTAAATATATAGCATGCACCTTACAAAACCACAACCCACCCAAGAAATTTAAAACTGAATGCTGTTTGTATTACATACTCACATTCCCAACTATTCCCCAAATACTCCCTTTAATCCTGAAATGGTAACTTCCTTGATCTAATCTACTATTGCATTTGCTTCTTTCTTTTAATCTACAGGTTCCTCTCCTTGTCCTTTATGACATTACAATTTGGACCACCTGCTAATTGTGGGATTTACTCAGATTTGCCTGACTTTTCTTCAGTTAGATTTGGGTAAAAAATTTAGCAAGAACATTACAAGGGTAATGCCATATGTCAGTAATTTCAGTTTGTTTTGTTATCAACTGGTTATAGTAATGCTCCTCTAATTTCTCTCCCCTTGTAATTAGATATAATCTATGAAATAAGATCATGTTACTATGCTATTCAATAACCTTTCACCCAATCATAGTGGGCAAGCATGGCTGCTTAACATCCATTGATGATTCTGAATTGCTTCCTGTGGAGTACTGCAAAACAGTTATTTTCCTGGGCTAGGGATGGTTCAAATGGCACGAGAGCTTGCCTACTAGCAGAAGCCCCTGGATTCAAACCCCAATACTGCAAAAAAATTAAAATATTTTTCTAAATCCATCATTCTTTTGTTACATTTTAAAGTCCCACTCCACTCATATACTTTTTTGTTTGTGCAAGTACTGGGATTTGCACTGAGGACATAACTCTTGCTTTTTCTGCTCAAGACTGGGGTTCTATTATAACTTGAGCCACACCTCCCAACCACCCTTTCACTTCAGGCTTTATCTGCCTGTTCTGATTTCAAAACCAGATGCTCAAATCACAGCCTGCTGAGTAGCTAGGATTACAGGTATAAGGCTAGCCATACTCAGCTATTTTTCTCATTTTACTTTTAAAGTATAATCTTTGAATTTATATGCATTCCAAACTTATAGCTGCTACAATACCTAAAATAATCAACATTTATTCTGCAGCCATCAACAATCATACCATTATGGTATGGTACCAATATGATATCATACCAATTAAAATGGACTAGTTAACCCTCTGATAATCCTCCTTCTCATTCTATCCATAAACTCCATTAACTACTTTTGATATTTGTTTTAAAAATTCAAAAGTTTTTCAAACAAACTAAAAATATCGAATTTTAAAGAAATATTTATTTCTATTTATCAAGTTTCCAAAGTCATAAGTACAGCAATTATAAATTAGGACTATTTACATAAAAGAAACAAATTATATATTATTTTCTAATATGTTGTTATATTACATGTAATATATATAACACTTCCCAACCTTCAAGTCCTCTTAAATAAATTCTTTGTTTAAAATCTTACTATACCTACCAGCATCACCTCCATCTTGACTAGAGCAGGTCTCAGCCAATAAATTTGCATTCATATTTCTATCACCATCTGGCCCTGAGAGTAAAGCACCATCCAAATCTGAAAGGACACAAAAATTCTTGTATAAGCTACATCTTAGCCATTTACCCAGGCACTACTTTTTCTTAATCTTTTTTATTTAATCTGCACAAAAATTTCTATCTGCAAGTGCTGAGTATCTGTTATGTGCCAAACATTGTAAAACAAATACAAAATCATGTCTAAATCAGTACAAAACAAAAATTATACTACAGGAGAGCAAGGTCTGGCCTGGCACCCATCCTACTCATCTTTGTCTTCCTGGTGTTCAAAGGTATGTCCTTAAGAGGAGGAGAATGTACAATTTTAAGAGCTAATCTTTTTTCCTTTTTAGGCAAGAGCTATTGTTCCCCTCTCCATCACAGGGCTTGAACTCAGGGGCTGCGTGCTGTCCTTGAGTCCTTTTGCTCAAGGCTAGCACTCTACCACTTTGAGCCACAGTGCCATTTCAGGTTTTCTGGTGGCTAATTGGAAATAAGAGTCTTGTGGGCACTTTTCTGCCTGAACTGACTTTTGAACTGTGACCCTCAGATCTTAAGCTTCCTGAGTAGCTAGGATTACAGGAATGAGCCACCAGTGCCCGGCTAGTGCTAATCTTAACATACAGAAGGAAGAGGAAAAGCAGCATATAAAAAACAGCCAACTAGTATGATACATATTTTTTGTTGCAAATCTATATTTCCTGTAAATAATATTCAATCCCATTGCTGCTTCAGTCAAGCACTCATTATTACTGTCCTGGATGGGTTAACTAATGTTATCAGTTCCTGATTTCCTCGTTTCCAAAATATAAAATGCTCACACTACTGTTTCCTGGAGGAATCTTCCTAAAATATAAAGAAAAATTTGAATGATTCATCAGGGCTTTTAGGATGAAAATCAAACTTTTAAGTTTAATATTCACATTCCTTTTACATCAATCCAACTGTACCAAAGCATCCTCTACTCTCAAATATCTTATGGGTCTGAAGATTTTTGTTTTTTAATGTTCCTCTTTCTAAAGTTAGAGAAATGGCTTAAGTGGTAATACCTGAGTTCCTTAAGTGGCAAGTACCCGAGTTCAAAAGCCTATATACTGCCAAAACAAAGTTCCTGGTGAATATTCTCCTCTTAACCTCTCAGAGTTCAAGATTTATCCACAGAAATGGAGGGACAAAGGGTGAACAAATGCAGCAGTGGTACTCACTAGGCACTATGTTAAAAATGAACTATACACTTGAGGGTGGGAACATGAGGGAAAAATTGGGAGAATGCAGGAAGAAGGGACATTGTCCAAAAAGAAATGTACTCTTTACCTGACTTAGGCAACTGTAACATCTCTGTATAGCACCTTTATAATAACAATAAACACATTTAAAGAAGACTTATTGATTATCTTTGAGTATTACCATCCTTGATTGCTCTGGATCTGTTAAACCCAAGGGCACTGGTGTCTCTCATAACTATAATCCTAGCTACTTAAGAGGTTGAGCTCTGAGCATCCTGGTTCAAACAAAGCCAGCTCATGCTGTAAAGTCTATGAGATTCTTACCAATTAGCCTCCAAAGAGCCAGGAGTGGAGCTGTGGTTCACACGGCAGAGGTCTAGCCTTGAGCAAAAAGCTCCGACAATGCCGAGGCCAGAACCACCAAACACAAACTCTCCTAACAGAAGTATTTACAATGGAACAAAGAAATTATGATATATTCATACATTGAAACATTATATAACTATGGTTCTACTGTTTAGCTATAAAACCCAAAATAGCTTATCAAAATTTAGTACTATAATTCTGACAAGCTATAATAGGATCACTTGATTGTGAAAGAGTAAACTCATGGCCAACTATGCACAGTATGTCATACTGACTCTTAGTAATAAAGTGATTTCATTAAGGCCGTGATTTATAATGGACTACCAATTTTCACATTTATAAATGTGAAAATTAGCAACTCAAGTAAGGTCTGGAATGGTCATGACTTTGTTGGTAGCAGTGGCAAAGAGAAAAAGTAAAAAGAATTTGATGCTAATAGAGCCTGGTGGCAGATTAAATGTTGAGGGGTGGGTTTAAGGTAATAATGAGGAAAAGTTTCTAGTCTATACTGGCAGCAGCAAAGGATATCCAGAAAATGGGGTAGATAAAAGGAGATACCAAGTGAAGTAAAAAGAAGTAAGTAAAAGGGCCACATGATGGTGGCTCACACCTATAATCCTTCAAGATCTTAGGATCCTTGTTTGAAGCAACCTGGTTATCTAGAACTATCAAAAGCCTCAAAGGGGAACTGAGGCTTAAGTAACAGAGTGTTAGCCTTGAGTCCAATAGCTAAGGGACATGCAAAAGCCCTGAGTTCAAGCCCCCGAAGGGGCACAAAAAAAACAGAAGGGGAAGGGAGTTTGTTTTCTGCCTGGCATCTATCTCTAGTCTACCACTTCCTGAATGTAAAACAGGTCATTTCACTTCTTTAATGACTGGTACTCAAAGTCACTAAAACCAGTATCAGAGAGCAATGTACTAGAAATGCCAATTCTCAGAATCTACTTTGGATATATCTATACTAGATACTTCAGAGGTGAGGCCAGCCTGCACTTTGTATTATAAAAAAGCCCTCTAAGTGATTCTGATGCCAACCAAAGATTAAGAAGTGTTTTAGTATAAAAATGAGAGAAAAACTTAAGGGTCAAATGAGATGTCATTTGATTCTACTATTTTTCTCACTTATATTTACAAGTACAGAAATCTAGCAACAAAGGTGCTTGAGTTGGAAAAAAAATAAGTTTGAGTTGTCAGAATCCACATGGCAATAAACAGATGAGACCATGGGTGCAGGGTAGGGGAAGAGACTGGCCAAATATACTAAATAATCCCAGCACTTAATGAACCAGAAACACACAAAAAGGTTTTCAGTGGGGGGAAAAAAAAGACTTTCAAGGAAAAGTACCGTATGAACTTTGTCAATGATACCTAGAACCTAGAACTCAAGATGATATCTGAAAATGTACATTATTTTTCTTTTATAAGCATCTATAAAGTCTCTGGTATTGTTAAGTGAGTGATACTGGGTAAGCCAGTGGAAACAAGAGTGGCCTGTGTTGTGTTTAGAAGATGACCAATTAGGAAGTGGAGGTGTGGCTCAAGTGACAGAGCATTAGTCTTAAGCAAAAAAACCCAATAGCCATTAATGGGCCATGAATTCAAGCTCCAGGACCAACACAGCAAACAGACACACTTATACCAAAAAAAATAAAAAAAAAAAAGACCAATTAACTGATTTAAAAAATTTAAAAATATTGACAAAGTCTGAATACAAAAAGGAACTGTGAGAAAGGATATGAATTGCTTTTCTAGTTTGGGAATGATGGCCCGTAACTATAATGTCATCAAAAGGGAGAGTAAAGAAGAAAAGAAAGGTCATAAGTTCAATCCCAGTTTGGGCTATAGTGAGACTCTAACTGGGTACATGGCTGGAGTGGTAGAACAATATACCCTGGCAAGCACTAGTCTCTGAGTTCAGTACCCAGAACAGCCCAAGAACAAACAAAAACCACCAAAAGATCCTGCATCTCAATAAAATGAAACAAAAACAAGAATTGGTTTTCTTAGGAGGTAAACATTAAATGCTGAAAGACACTTGGAAAGGGAGAAATTGAAAATGGTATTAGATAAGCAGTTATCAATCTTGTAAGATTCCTAAGTAATCTGAAATCTAGAAGCACAGGTTAGGATAGTCACAAGATAGCAGAGAGAAAGGTTCTAGTGTTGGCTTCCATTTTCTCTGTACAATACAGTATGATGTCATCATCTAAGTGGGCAGAAAATACCTTATTTGGAATGCAGGAATGATAAATTGACTCCTGTCCATGTTTTTTGCCAGTAGGAACACTGTAATCTGTTTTATCAGATTATTACCACATATGCCAATCAAAAAGCCTTCAAAAATGTTATATTATCAGACTGAATTTCTGCCCTTTGCTATTTGTAGTATTAACCAAAGGTTAATTTTAAATAACTTATAAAAAAAGTTTTTCAACTAGGTATTTTATAATTACAATGAAACATATCCATAACTGAAAATGCTTAAAATGTATGGCTTTCCTTATGGAATAGAATCCAAAAATTAAAAATAGGAAGGACACCTGGACATTGGTGGCTTACACCTGTAATTAATTCTAGCTACTCAAGAGGCTGGGATCTGGAAGACTGAGGTTCCAAGCCAGTCCAGTCTGGCATTTCCACTATGTACAAAAGTATTAAATCATACATCCACATTACATCTCTTTTTATGTGCAATATTTCCCTTTGAAAACAAAAACAAAACAAAATAGAATATAAATAATTTTGAAATGTGAGTGAATATAGCTGAAATAAACTGCTTGTTACTATAAAAATAGAACAAGGAAATTTGTCAAAATTCTTTTGGGAAAGGGTAAGGGAACAGTGACAGAGGATGAGATTGATTGGAATATATTGCAAATATGTGGAAAATGCTCATGAAATTCCCCTCTGTAAAATTAATAACATTAATAAATAAAAAAATACCCCCAACCATATAAAATGTCCACATTATCTTTCTGGAAAGGCACTACCTACCTGATTTTTTTTTTAAGGCTGGGAATGTGGCTTAGTGATAGAGTGCTTGCCTAGCTTGCATGAAACCTTGGGTTTGATTCCTCAGTGCCACATGAACAAAAAAAAAAAGCCCCAAGTGGCACTGTGGTTCAAGTGGTAGTCTGTTAGCCTTAAGCAAAAGAAGCTCAGGAGCAGTGTGCAGGCCATGAGAGTTCAAGCTCCAGGACTGGCAAAAAAAAAAAAAAAGCCAGGCACCAGTGACTCTCATCTGTAATCTTAGCTACTCAAGAGGCTGAGATCTGCATTACTTTAGTTCCAAGCCAGCCTGGGCAAAAAGTCCATGAGACTCTTATCTCCAAATAACTATTAACCAGCAGGAAGTAGAGCTGCTGTGGTTCAGGTGGTAAAGCACTAGTTGTGAGCAAATTGGCTCAGACAGTTCCCAGGCCCTGAAGTTAAAACCCCAAAGTAGGCA